ATTTCAAAATCCTGAAGAGGTAATATTCTGAAAATTAAATCCTGAAAAAAAAAGAATCATAACTTTATAATTATGAATTTTGACTTTTTTTTTTAGGATTTAGTTGTTGGGATATTACATATTACCTTTTCGGGATTTGTTCTATCGGCATTTAGTACATCATGATTTGCTCCATTGGGATTTTGATGTTCGCAAAATCTTCGATAAGTTATTGATATCAGCATAATCAATGTAACGTTTATTATTTATGGAAATATTCTAAAGCCAATTATGTACGTACGTATGTTTTAAATTGATACTAATCAATTTGTAAATTTAAACTCACATAAAACTTATAACCTACTACAGGATCTATACTATATTGTTAATCGATAATGACCAGATCATCAAATCTAATAAATCAACAGCTTATCGAATCGGTAGAATTGTCATTCGGCTAATTTTTCATGCGGTGTACCAAGAATAATAATCATAGGTAGGTAAATAATTTCGATAAGAGCATGTTAGTATTTGATTTCGCGAAAAATTTGACTACAGATATTTTCATAAATTCTGGAACTTCTGGCAAAAAATTGACTGACCGAATATTTACCGATTCAATAATTTCTGATTCGGCATTGATCATTACCGAAATCACAAACTTATCGAATCGGCAAATATTCGGTCGGTCGCTTTTTTGCCAAACGTTCCAGAATTTATGAAACCAGCTGTAATATACTTGCAGACCGAACCAGAACGAATTTGGCGCTAATAAGAATATGTTAGCTAATAGATTTATCATTTTCTGATTATTTACTGGAAATATTCAATTACTATACTTATGGATCGAACCGGTAAGTTATTTCAATGTTAGTTTGTGTTGACTTTATTATTGTACCATCAATTACAGCTGTTTTATAATTTTAGAACACTTGCAGCTGCTTTCATAATTCCTGAGACACCTTTAAAAAATTAGCCGAATGATTTTCGACCGATCTGGGTAATTTATTATTTCGGCATAATACAACAATAGATTCAACAAAATTGATACATACGTACTTATCAATTTTTATTGAATCTATTATGCCGAAATAATAAATTAACTGGATCGCTGAAATCATTCGGCTAATTTTTCACAGGTGTCTCAGAATAGCTGTAAGAAAAAATTAGCTGAATGATTTTTCGGACGAACCGATTAAGTTTATGGTTTCGGTATAATTGGTGCATAGAAGTTATTTTTGCATCACACGAAATACTTATCTAATGATCGATTATTAATTTATATATTGGTTGTATTAGTTATGCCGAAATCACAAACTTAATCAAATCGGGCGAAAATCATTCAGATGATTTTTATTAGTATTTCAGGAATTATGAAAACATCTATATTCGTTATACTTATAGCCCGAATCGGATAACAGTACCTTCATTACCGGACCGGGAAAAATTTATAGGCGCTGGTAAGTGGTTTGGATTATGTGAGTTTTGTATTGGATTTTCATCATTATTAACTGTAAAATATTCGTTTTATACTTACAAACCTAATCGAGAAGGATTTGTGGCCGCTGGTAAGTGATTAAATAATAGATATATTAGTTTTGTATTGGAATTGCGTATTATTAATTAAATCATTCTTTTACTATACATATATACATACCGAGCCCGGAAGGATTTGTAGCCGCTGGTAATTCCTAGAGAAAATAATTTAAAAACATCACAATATGTAAAATGAATAAATAAATAAATATAAAGGGCGAAAATGTAAAAAAAAAAAAGGGGGATATAAAAAAAAAAATCGAAGTAAAAAGATTAAAGAACAAGTTGTAATTAATAAAAAAAAAATCAAAATAAAAAAAAAAAAAATCGAATAAAAAAAGATCGAATAAAAAAAAAATCGCATAAAAAAATAATCAAAAAATATAAAAAAATTGAAATAAATAAAAATAAAACAAATCGAAATAATAAAAAAAGCGAAATAAAAAAAATAAAGTATTAAAAATATAAATAAATTTAAAATATAAAAAATAATAAGTTGAAGCGAGTATAAAAAAAAATAAAATAAACTATAAAACTATTAATTGAAAAATGTAATTAAATTAAATAAAACAAAATAAATTAATTAAAATTTATTTAATAAGTTTTTGTATTATTATAATATGTATAATCGAAAAATATTTGAATTGTAAAAAATCAAATTGTAATTAAATTAAATAAATTAAATATAAAAAAATAAATTAAGTTAATTAGTAATTATTTAATAAGTTTTTTTTTTATATTTTTAATTAAATGCTGCACATAATATTTATTTATATAAAATATAAATTATACTTTTTGTAATATCTATTTTACTGTAAAGCTATAAATAAATAATTTAATTTAAAATCTAATAAAATTTAATATAAATTTAATAAATTTAATATTTATTACAAATATATTTATAGTAACTATAATTTTTTAATATTTAGTATTAGAATTTGAATTTAAACAATTTTTAAATATATAAAATATAAATTAATTAGCCAGTTTTAAAAATTATATATATAGTTAAACCTTTTTAATATACTTTTTTTAAATATATACTATATAAAAAATTTTTTAAATATAGTCTGCTCTCTATATAGTTACTTTTTATATAACTATACTCTTTTTATAAGCACACTAATTTTTAGAACAAATGTATATAAAACATAAGAGATTTGACCTCTATATAAGCACAATTTCTTATAATAAGTCTTATAAGTACAGGATTTCTTAGAACTAAAAGTGTAATTGTAAAGAGGTTTGACTATACATATTTTTGCTTGGTTTCAAGTAATAGTAGCAAATCAGAAACTAATAGATATTTGAAGCTATAGAACAACTAAACAACTAACTATATATTATTGCTTTTAAAGTTTTTAAAAAATATAAGAAAATAACTAATTGTATACACTAATATTAATTTGCAAATCTGTATAACATGTAAATCAAAATAATTTTTATAAAACAAAATTTAAATACTGTTTAAGATTAAGATAATAATAAGTTTAAGATAGGGCAGAAAATTGCTTATATCAAGATTTCACAAGAAATTTTTTTAATTAATATCTAAAAGGCAGTTTTACAAGTAAAATTTTGAGTTATAACTGATTTTTAAAGAATGCATTAATTTTATATTATATCTAATCATATAATCTGATTGTTTTTCTATATATTAGTATTTAAACATGCTATATATAAATAAAAATTCTCAAAATTCAATTATATATAATTATACAAATCTAAATATCTAGAAGTATAGTATCTTTAACTAATTTTAAAACAATAATAATTATAAATTTTAATTTCTCTAAATATATTTCTTTCTAAATTTTAAATAAATTTAAACTATTAACAAAATCTTTATTAAAAATATATTTAAAAAATAATATTGCAAAGCAACAGGATCAAACTTAAATTAATCTAATTTAAATACAAATAAATACACATATTTTTAATATTATTTATTCTCTATTATTTATTAAGAGAATACTATTGAGAAAATACTATTGCAAAGCAATAGGTTCAAACTTAGATTACTATATATTGTCTCATATTTATTAAAAAAAATACTATTTAGAAATATTATTGAGAAATTATCATTGCAAAACAACAAGATTAAATCTAGATATATTTAATTTTAACTCAATTACAAGAATACTAATACAAAGCAATAGGTTTAGATCTAGATTAATGCAATTTAAATACAAATAAATACAAATATTTTTAATATTATTTATTATTTATTATCTATTATCTATTAAGTAAATACTATTGAAAAGATACTATTGCAAAGCAATAAGTTTAAACCTAGATTAATTATAAATATTTTTAAATTATCTATTAATTATTAAAAAATACTATTAAGAAAAACTATTAAAAACATATTATTGAAAGAATACTATTGTGAAGATACCGTTTCAAAATAACAGGATCAGATCTAAATTAATTTCAAATTATTTAATAATTATTGAAAGAATGCTATTAAAAAAATATTATTAAGAAAATACTATTTAAAGAATACTATTAAGAGAATACTATTGAGAAGATACCATTACAAGACACCAAAATTAGATCTAGATTAATTTCAAATTATCTATTAATTATTGAAAGATACTATTAAGAAAATACTATTAAAAGAATACTATTTAAAAAATACAATTGAGAAAATACTATTGAAAAGATACTATTGCAAAGCAATGGAATCAGGCCTAAATTAATTACAAATATTTTTATATTTATTAAAAAAATACTATTTAGAAAATACTATTAAAAAATACTATTAAGAGAATACTATTGAGAAGATATCGTTGCAAGGCAACGGGTTCAGACCTATATTAATTTTAAATTATCTATTAATTATTAAAGAATACTATTAAAAGAATACTATTAAGAGAATACTATTTAAAGAATACTATTGAGAGAATACTATTGAGAAGATACTGTTGTAAGGCAATAGGTTTAAAGCTAAATTAATCTAACTACAAATATTTTTTATATTATCTATTATAAAGAGAATACTATTGAGAAGATACCGTTGCAAGGCAACAGGTTCAGACCTAGTTTATTAATATACAAATGCAAAACAATTCTTCAAAAAGGAATGCAAAAAAACGAACACGCAGATCGGTATAATTTTATTTTTATTTTATTTATTTTTTTTTTTTACAAAAAAAATTAATTTATTATATTAGGGATCCGAAGAACCTAATAGTGATGAAAATTTAAATAAAAAAAAAAGACACAATTATTTAGTAAAAAGCCTAAAGAATCTCATCTTGACGATGATAAACATATTATGGCATCTACTATATCTCAACTTCGGGAAAAATATTTTTGCGCTAATTGCGAAGGTTCCTGTTGGGTTACTGAAGCTAGGCATCTTAAATTAACAGGAATGCATTATACTACATGGGCTCGAGCAATCGTAAGTATTATTTTTTGATACATTTCTTTATTTATTAAATACTATACACTTATTGTAAAATTATTATTATAAACAGATGAATGGATTAGCAGATATTAACACACCACCTAGTCATGCGATATTTACATCTCCACCTAAAATTAGAGGAATATCTAATTCAAATCAGCTTTTATTACAACCATTACAACAACCCAGTTCACACCATTACAATTAGCTTCACAAATACCTTCGCAAACATCCTTACAAATACCCTCCCAAACATCCTTACAAATGCCCTCGCAAACACCTTTACAAATGTCTTCACAAATTCTCTTACAACTATCCTCACAAATAGCTTCACAAATACCTTCTCAAATACCTTTACAAATGCCTTCACAACTATCTTCACAAATACCAACAATTTTTTTTTCACACTTTTCTAATATTCCCTTACAAGTATTACCAAATATTCCTTTATACATACTATCAAATATCACTTCACATCCATATTTTATACCATTTCCAACTATGCCCAATTTATCACAAGGATCAATGCTTTTTTCAAAATATGTTCCCGAACTTGAAGAATTTTTGACTCAAATAGATAAAGCTGAAAATGCAAATGGAGAAATTTTAGCGTGTTTATCAATGTTTCAAAATCAAGCTATTCAAGTTAAGTGGATATGCAAATTAACTGATGAACAGCTTGAATTGGTTGGAATTACTAAAACTGGATGGAAAGTTGCATTACAGGAGGCTTCTAAAGAGTATAACCAATAAATATTATCTACAATAAGTACTCAAGATACATATTACAGAAATTAAAAAAAAAATTAAAAAAAATTAAAAAAAATTAAAAAAAATAAAAAAATAAAAAAATAAAAAAAAATTAAAAAATTAAAAAAGATAAAAAAATTAAAAAATTAAAAAAAAATAAATAAATATATAATATTGTTTAGTTATCTTTATATGTAAGTTCGATAGTCTTGTTATGTGGTTGGATCATGACATTGTTGAGTTTGAATAGTCTTGTTATGTGGTTGAATCATAAACATTGTTTAGAAGTTAGTTAGAAAGTATAGCATTGGTATAATACATAGAAGTATAATAAAAAAAGAAATTTTTTACTCTAAGTAAATACAATAAATTGAAAAAGTGCTTATTTTATGTTGAATAAAAAAATTCCACACTATCAGAAAATTAGCATGAATGTAATTCTTAATACAGTAACATAATATATGCATGCATATAACAGATAATACTTAAATCCATTTTAACGCTAAAGCACGAAACAAGTAATTGACCATTGTTTCAGTTTGGAAAGAGACTTCCAAATCTAGTCACCGAATTTTAGCTCTAGGCCGTGCATATGGCGTTTGTTGAGAGAGCGTGAGAATTCAGGAATTAAAATTACGTATGTTCTGGCAGTTATGCTGTGAAGAAATGAAGTAATATTGTCGTTGAATACCGAACGTAAAATTTTGTATAACACTATGCACCGTACTACTCAAGCAAGATCGGCTCCAACATTAGGGCAATTTACTATATTGTTACGATTGTATTGGGAGAGCTTATAGAACTATCGGCAGAGTTTAGTTCCAATAGTTAACTTATATGTTCTTTGTATAGAACTCAAAGTAATATAATAAATAAATTCGATTATAGTAATAACTCAATCATGTGAGATTACGTAATTGATCCGAGATCAGGGAACTTAATTATATCTACCAGTAATCAATCAAGTAAATAAATTAGGTTATGTAAGCGTAATTGAATAAATCAGTAATCTCGATAGTTAATCAGTACGACCGATATTATGGATCGATACTTATAAGGTAACTGAGTAATAACGATGAATATATAATATGATCGTGAAGAACCTTCACGATTAAAATAGGGGAAAAAATAAAAAAAAAAAGGGTAATACGATCGTTATGTCACTTAACGGTCTAAAATAATAAATACGTCATTAACTAACAACAGTTGAGAAATCAATTCTTAATAACTCCTATATTAAAGACATTGAAGTCTAAAGCTTTTTAGAAGAGCGAGATGGCAGCTCTTTTATACTTTCGAATTGCATAAAAACATTTAATTACATGTTTTAGTCCAATTCTATGTTTTGGTCCTTACCAGTACCTTATCTTCGGGCTTATCTTTACTAACTTAACTTTTCTGGGACTCTTTACTAAGCTTTGGTACTGGTCAAAAGGCTATTCTATGTAACTGACCTTCCTACTTTAACTTTAGCTTACTTCTACCCTCAATACAATAAA